ATGTTTATTTGGCCTGCACAATTCCAGTATTTTAAAATCATTTGAATTGTTGCCAATCAACCAAAAATCTTAGATTTCACATAAAAATTATTTCCCAAAGACCTCATCACTTACCCCTTTTGTTACACGCAATTAGCCTATAGGCTATTTGTGGAATAGCCTCTATTTTAGAGGCCAGATAGGTAATATAGGCTAATTGTGTGTAACAAAAAGGGTAAGGATTCAAGGAATCTGAATTTGCAGACTCTGATTTTTACAGGAACCTGCAGTGCCTGGCATGTTACCTATTACAGTGAAAGCTTTTCAGCCATCACAACACTATTTTACCTTTGTATTCCCCTATACTATAATTAATGCCTGGCATATACTTAATAGCAGATACTTAATAGATTATGAGTTCACTAAGAAAAAAAATACAGGTTATCCAGATGGAAATGTCATATAAGCAAGTGGAAATAATTCGATGGAGTTGGGTTGACAGAGAGAGACTGGAAATACCAATTTGGGAATACTATTGTATAGGACACTGATGAAAACACAGAATTAAGAAAATACAGATGACTAATTGTGGGAAAGAAAAGTAGGCACTAAAGGAACCATGGAAAACACTTTCATTTGAAAGTTAGAGAAAAAGGATTCAGTAGAAAAAACTGAGAACAGCAGTCTGAAAAACCACAAGAGAGCAAAGACACTGAGGTCACAAAAGCTAATGGAAGAAAAGACTAAAATACTTAATAGCATCAAGATGAAAGAGAAACCACAGGGTAGAGACATTTTAATAAGACATGCAGCAAATAGGAGATCATTGCTGCTCTCCCTGAGTGCTTATAAAGAACCAGTACCATATCATCTTCCTACTAAGTAACCTCCTCCATCTCTCCACTGTATGATGTAGCACTATAAAAGGGATGAACAATTAATGAAAGCTAATGCATACAAACATATACACTGTTATATATAATATATACACAATTAACAATAACCCTCTCGATGATGTTTTACTAGATCTAGTCACAAAAATAAATTCTGAAGACAGAAAAACACTGTAAGAAAAAGTATATTATTTATATTTACATATTATATATTAATTATATGTTGAATACGTGTATTTATTATCATTATATATAATAATTACATAAAGAGTTTTCTCAACAGTTTACTTAGTATCAAATGCTTACCTGACACATTTGTTTCTCAATTTTGTCAAGTAAGAGCCTTGGAATATTGATAGCAACATTAGTTCCATCTAAAGTATGTTGGTTAACAAGATTAAGGACTGCATTAACAACTTCTCTTTCTTTTTCCAAATACATGAGTGTTTCGTTCACTGAAGCCCACAAAGACCGAACCTTTGAAAACAAAGACAAAGTCTACACATAATCTGTACATATATCAAAGAAATGTAAAATACAAATATATGCTCACTCCCTGGAACAAATGAAGTATTCCTGTAATGATTTCTGGTGAGAAAATTAATTAACTATCTAAAAGCACTGATACTGGGGCTCCTGGGTGGCTCAGTCGTTAAGCGTCTGCCTTAGGCTCAGGTCATGATCCCAGGGTCCTGGGATCGAGCCCTGCATCAGGCTCCCTGCTCGGCAGGAAGCCTGCTTCTCCCTCCCTCCCCCCCAAATGTGTTCCCTCTCTCGCTGTGTCTCTGTCAAATAAATAAATA